CTTTATGTTTTGTTATTGTTGATGATCATTAGAAGTGGAGTTGGATGCTTTGATGTTGTTCCCCTCGCCTGCTAATCTTTTCTTTTGGGCGGCGAGGTGTGATTGCTTTCTCATAGTCTTGATGTTGTCTAAGGAATGATACGGGTGAATGGAAAAGGATTCAGATTATGTACTTATTGCCATTGCTCTTAAATCCTCTGTTTTACACCTCTGTTTTCTGAGCAGCGTACTTGCTTCTCTTTTTCTGAGTTGCGTTCCTAGTTTTAATTGATTAATTGATTAAACCATTTTAAGATGTCCTAATCTTCTCTTTTCCGAGCAGTGTCTTTTGTTTGAATTGATTAAGGCTAGGGTACATGAGCTTGCAAACCAAACCGAGTGTCCTAGTCTGTTTCTCATGTCCAAGTTTTGTTTTGTTATTTGTGTTCCTTTTAACTTCTTTGTTAATTTGTTTCTAATGTGCAGTAATGGTTCGTGCAATCAACAAAAGAGCGAAAACATATCACTTGTTCCAGAAATGAAGTGTTTTCCAATAATCTGCAATCCTATGAGTCGTCCAAAAAGACATAGATTAAAGACATTGCAATCCAATTAAATGACAAATTGACGAACCTGAAGACACTGCTCAGGGATGATTGGTCGTCCCTATTAATTGAATAGGTGACAATTAAGAGTCCCTGAAAATACAGGGTAAGAGACAATTGATCGTCCCCACAGGCCACAAGTGATACATGTGACAACTAGTCGTCCCCAAAGACATATGCTAGAAACACCAAGTTGTTTACATAAAGCTAATAAGGGACAATAAGTCGTTCCCAGAAGGTGCATAAATGACAAATATTCGTCCCCAATACATAAGTTAAAGGACAATTGTTCGTCTCTAAAAGTCATAGGTGACAACTTGTCGTCTCTAAAGATATAGTATAAGAGACAACTCGTAGTCCTTGAATAAATCTTTCAGGGACGACTTTTGGACTCCAGTTTGATACCTATAGGAACAGCATGTCAACCCTATAAAAAGAAAAAGGGGACGATAAATTATCCCCAGATAGGCCCAACCTGACAATGAAATCGATTGTAGGGGACAACAGTTTGTCCCGGGAAATGATGTTTAGGGGACGGCTTATTGTCACTACAATTTTAGCTGTAGGGACGACATGTTGTCTTTGATGAAAAATAAACGAGTTGCCGATTTGCTAGTATCGGGGACGACTGTCGTCCCTAGTAATGGGGACGACCTAGTTTTCTGTCGTCCCCAAAAGAATAGAGGACAAGAGTATAGGGAACCACACATTGGAGACAGCTTGGTCATCCCCAAAAACTATAGGGACGATTTTTCCTATTTCCGGGGATGATTTTTGTCATCCCCAAACCTCTTTTTTTTTTTTTAGTGAAGTGAAGCAAATTAGATCGATATTCATAAGATTGGTGCTTTCAACTTTTATACCCCGTGATCGAATCAAATAAAATCATACTCTCCTTTTGGCCACCATCACACTCAAGAAGCCAGATGAAAGCCACGTATCCATAAGATTGGGGATCATGTTATCCTTGTACGTCATTGTTTTTATACTATCCAGATAAAGTTTGCTATGCCTCGCTTCATTGCTCCCCGTCAAGATGTGGATAGCTAGAGTCTCATAGAAAGCACGATTAGGTGACTATATGCCCGAAAAGTTTATCTAACTGTCTCTAAACCTTTCAAATTATGATTTGGATTTGTAGTAGATTGGGGTTGTAGTTGTTGCTAGTTGGTGACGATCGAACTGGAGCATGATTCGGTAACGTGAAAAGCTCAAATTTTAGTGGTCTGACCGGTATTAAACCATTTAAAAACCGTTAGAAAAAGCTTTCGACAATGTTAACTGGAGATGTTTGCTTAAAGTTCTTTTTAGTCTGGGGTTCCCTCAAAAATGGTTGAGCTGGATCTGGGGATCAGTCTGCTCTCCCTTTATATCTGTCCTTATTAATGGCGAATCTAATGGTTTCTTTCCGGCTTGCAAAGGTCTTCGCCAAGGCAACCCTTTATCTCCGGGATTATTTGTTCTCATCATGGATATCATTTCTGATATGATCTCGAAGCTAAAGAGTTCCAATAAGATTGTCGGTATCTTTATGGATGAAGTTCATCAGCTCGGCGAAGTCACTCATCTTCTGTTCGCGGACGATAATTTGATTTTTTGTGATGCTTCTCACGAGCAAGTTCTAAGTATTATGTCGACTCTGGTGTGCTTTCAAGCAGTGACAGGGCTCAAGATCAATTTCGATAAATCGGTTATATTCACTATTGGAAATGTTCCGGATCCTGATTATTTTGCTACCATGTTTGGGTGTAAATGGAGCAGCAACCCTAAAAATACCTTGGCTTTCCTCTTGGTGCGAAGCTCAACTCCAAATCAATATGGGACCCGATTATTGCGAAGTTTATCAAAAGGCTCGATGGATGGAAACACAAATATCTCTCCTATGGTGGCAGGCTGACTCTCAACAAAGCGGTGTTGTCCGGTCTTTCTGTTTACTACTTCTCACTCTTCAAAGCTCCTAAGTCTGTGATTGAAGATATGGAAAGGATTCAAAGGAAGTTTATTTGGAGTGGGGTTGGAGATAAAGATAAAATTTTCCTGATTGGCTGGCACTTATGTAAACTTTCCAAATCTGATGGGGGCCTAGGTATTCGTGATCTTGCCTCTGTTAACAATGCTCTTCTTGCTAAGTGGATATGGAAATATGCAGTGGACAGGAACAGTTGGTGGAGAGAATTGATCGAGATTAAATATCACAGTCCTGACTCCATTTGGCAGACTCGGAAGATCAGCTATGGTTTCTCCAATTCAGTCTGGGCCAACATCTCCAAGGTTCAAGAACTCTTCTGGAAATTCGCGTTTCTGGACCCGGGAAGTGGATCTCAAGTCTCCTTCTGGCATGATCATTGGATCCCAGGCACCGTTCTTGCTGCTGCCTTTCCCCGAGCCGCTGCTGCTGTTGCTAACCCGGATGCAAAGATCTGCGATGTTGTTTCTTCGGATGGTGAGGTGGTAATATGGGATCTCAATTTTATTTTCAATCTGAGAGGGGGTGCAGGGAGAGAGAGAGATATATACTTTGCTTACCTTTTTAAACACTATGGATTTTAATTTCTCCACTTTCGGCCCAAGCAGAATCATTTGGACTTCTAAACCTGATTCACCTTTTTCAGTTAGCTCTATGTACAGAAACCTTGTGAAGAATCGGTTCCCGAGGATTCCAATCATTTGGACTTCTAAACCTGATTCACCTTTTTCAGTTAGCTCTATGTACAGAAACCTTGTGAAGAATCGGTTCCCGAGGATTCCATACAACCCCGTCGCTGCTATTTGGAAGGCAATTGTTCCGTCTAAAATTTGCTTCTTCCTCTGGACTCTGTCTCATAACAGAATCCTTACTCTCGATAATCTGAAGAAGAGGGGTTGGTCTCTTGCGAATCGATGTATTTTTTGTTGTTGCTTTGAAGAATCAACTAATCACCTCTTCACTGACTGTGTTTTTACTAGAGAGGTCTGGATGATTATCTACAGCGGGTGCCCTACGGTTTTATCCCCTTCTGGCGATGTCGTGTCTATTATCCGCAGGTGGCCTTCTGCTACTTCAGACAATATTGAAGGTTGGTTCAAGTTTGCTGTCCTCCATGCCGCCTGTTGGCAACTCTGGCTTGAACACAACAAGAGGATCTTTCAAGATGTTCGGTCATCCTCTACTGCTCTTGCTCGTAAAATCCTGATTATGGCATCTTCTTGGATTACGGCTGACAACAAAGTGGACAAGGATCTGAGAAAGAGTTGGGTTGCAGGCTGCCTCTCAAGAATCTGAGGCCTCCCAGGATTTTGTTCTCTCGTTTGGTCTCTGTCGTTGGGTTTTCTGGCTTTGTTTTCGGGTCCCTGTGATTGTTGGTCCCTGTTTGTTTTTGTATGTTTTTATCCTTCAGGGGTGGTCGGCTCCACCTAGTTGGATCCCTTTTTCCTTTTGTTCCTTTTCCTTTTCCTGTTAGTTGGTTTTCCTTTTTCCTCTTGTTCCTTTTCCTTTTCTGTTCTTTTTCCGTTTCCTTAGTCTCTTGTGTTTTGCTTTGTGTCTTGGTTGTATTGTTGCTGGGCAGGTTCAGTCTTTTGAACCTTAACCTTTGCTCTCGGTTTTCTTTCTTTTCCCGTTATCAATATACCATCACCATTATCAAAAAAATAAAAACCGTTAGAAAACCGGTACCTTATAAAAAATAATATCATAAGTAGAAGACATATAAAGTAGAAATTTAACAATTTAATGACACTAAGATGAGAAGTCCCACTCGACTCAACCCTAAATCCAATTTTTTTTTTTTTTTAACCAGATGATCAGAAGGCAAGAATCAATCGGACAGTTAGAACGGTTCGAATGGTTAACCAACTCGGTCGCTCACCGACCGGCCTTTTTGACCATTGCGATTCTGGGGGTGTTTCAGACTGGAATGGTGATCGGGTGTCGGTTTTATCGGTCTGACCGACCGGTCCAGGTCAGCTTTAACAACCGTGGTAATGATATTGATTCTTGAATCACCAATTATCCGGTGGATACCTAAACATTATGAGGTTAGTCTACATTCATTAGTAACTATTCAAGGAGCTGATTGAATGAGTCATTATCAACTTATGTTTTAAGCGTTAGTGATGATTGAATGAGTCATTATCAAATCTTTTAGGACGGATTTCGTGAACATTGATTTTACAAAATTCTTAGTTAATTAGTAAAAAAAAACCAATTTGTACTATTTCGTTATGGTCGTTTCCCTTGTTAATTAGTTATGTAACTAAGCTTTGACCTTTAAAAAAAAAACCAAAAAGCTTTTGATATGACAGTCTTCGTTGACGAATGACGAGGCATGACAAGGATACGTATTTGAATGAACTGCCAGGAATGGAAAAACTAACATAAGTGAAATAGTAGTACATGCTTAATTAACACGAGAAAAGCACAACGTAACACATATTACTCAATACTACTCAGTGATACGAAACAGAAACAGAAACAGAAACAGATTAAAAAGGGAAAATACAGCGCAACTAAGTTTAACCGCCAGTACTGCAGTTAACGATTAAAGAGCCCTCCCGTGCACGAGAAACAAAACGATCAGGGCTGAACAACGTTAGTATCGGCGCCACCGACGCAGCCGCCGTTGCCAGCACCAATGCCGCTGCCGAGACCTCCACCGCCTATCGTTCCGCCGAGGCCGCCAATGCCGCCACCAAGACCTCCGGCAGGTAGACCGCCACCACCGATCCCGCCTCCAAGCCCGCCACCACCCAGTCCACCAAGCCCGCCACCTCCAAGCCCATCGCCACCAAGCCCACCTAGTCCGCCAGCTCCACCAAGCCCACCTGCACCCCCAACGCCGGCAAACCCACCGACGCCACCGAAACCGACGAAGTTCTTTTGGTCGTCGAGGCCGGCCCCGGCTGATGATGATGGGATTTCCTTGGGGGCGTCTCTTGCAGTTGCAGAGTAATGTTGGGAAACCATGAGCAATAGAGCTAGAGAAAGCATAATGGAGGCCCGTTTCGTCATGTTATTATGGTCTCTTTGGACGAAGAAGAAGAAGCAGAAGGGGAATGTATTTTTGGTTTGGATCGGGGAGGCATCGGATGCGGGTATAAATACAACGGGACGGATGGAAAGAATTTAATCGGCAGGGCACAGCGATCTGGTTTTGGAATTTAACGCGGGAATTCAATGTCACCACATGGTTGTGTAGCCTTGTAGGTAGGGGTTGGGCACATGGTGGTTAATCCTTCTGCCGATCCACAAGCAAATAACTCGAATCGAAATGGGTGGGTGATTGATGTGAGTGGATTGTGAATTTGATAAATCTGCTACAAGTACTTAATCGAGTGGGTGGTAGGTTGGATTGCACATCACCCGAATGATCAGTATTTATATTCACATGAAAATGGTTTTGTGTTTATATTATCGAACAGTTTTCATGTTTCCTAATCGCACTACACACTGACCGTCGACTTCTAAAGGCAGAGAATAAATAATGCTTTTGAACTACTATTGTTGGTTATTATATTGCGGAACGTCCATTAGATATTGGGATGCAAATTGTAAATACTAATTTTATCCAAGTCGCAAATTTTCTCAATTTCCTCTATACAATTAGTTGATATATATATATATAGTAATAAAAAATTTATACAAATACTACATGTCCCCAGAAAACAGAGTGCATGGTCTCTAAATTGCTTCAGTCTTACTATTTTGCGAGGAATTTCTTATAAATGTTAGTAAACTTTTTTAACGACTAATTGAAGAATTGATGCCAGAGTTTTCCAAATTTTAGGAGTGTTGTGAAACACCTCATAAAATCCCATAGCTCCGCGCCCTGCATTCGCCATCCACCTAACCAATAAAAAAATTAATAAATAGTGGATCACAATTATATCAACTTACTAATAAATAAAAGTGAGTCTATTTTTAAAAAATCACCCAACCCGCCTTTCCCGACCCAGTTGTAGGCTTGCATGATGTATTTTATATATGTAATGGCCTCCTTACCTCATGAAATTCATGAGAGTGAAGTCTCTTGTCAGACAAAAAACCTAATTTTGGGTTATTCACACCATATATGTGTAATTCACGTTATATTTGCGTTATTCACGTTAGAGTGTTGATTATTCACATAATCATCAATGCAACATATTTTTACAGATTAAATGATAATCCAAATTTAATTCCATAAAATAAAGCCAATACAAATTATTAGGGGGAAAGTATGAATATTCATTTACGTGAAAAATTTATACTCTTACGTAAATCACTATATTATAATGTGAATGCGCACAAAATAGTGTGGATGAGCACAAAATTACGTAAATGAAATGGTGTTAGGTGTTCTGTCACCTAACTTGACAAGAGATGTTTGCCTTCATGAAAAAGCATTATTGAGAATGACATTTACAGCTTGACACCAAGAAACGGCATGGCCACGGGGCAATATCATGCATGGTATCGGTATGACCCTAAGCCCCCACCTGCACGTTACAATAAATTCACTCAGTAATGATACAAATAAAAATAGCAAATAAGAAATTCACTTCCCCCATAACATGTTCAACTACAAAAGTTATGATACCGGCCTAGTAGTTCAGCAAGTAAATACTAGTAATCATGAATAAATTTATAATTTCAGAATATTTGTCTAGTGAAAATTGGCAGCAGACAAAGTCAAAATTAGTTATAGAAACTTATTACTGGGCCCTTTATTTTAAGTGGCTGCAGATCTAAGGGTTGTAAATTAAAAACATTTTATATCCCCTATTTTTTTAATTAGATCATATATTTCTAATTCTAACTCGGATTTTAATTTTTTTGCATAGATGAAATGAGTTCGTTGTGCTCTATAAAATGATATCCATTTTCAAAAAAATTCGAGAAAAAAAAATTCATACCTCTCGTTACCAACTTTATACCATACAGTATCTACTTGTTTTTTAAGTCGTTTTCGAAATTTTTTGCACAGGGGGACGAGTTAAACATGATCTATTGGATCAAAAAAATTACGGGTGAAAAAATTTCTTACCTCTCGTTACCAACTCCATACCATACTATTCCACCCTGGTATGGGCTGATATCTTTCATACCATATGGTATGCTCTTATTTAATACCAATCAATACCATATGGTATAGACTGGTAAAAAATGGCTCAATTTTTTTTGTTCAAAAAATATATCAAAATGGATATCATTTTGAAGAACACAATTAATCTAATCTAATCTAACTGTGCAAAAAATAATAATTAAATTCCGACTTAAAACGTGTGAGAAATCGTCCGTTAAAGATGAGGGGGGAAAATTAAAGGCTTTCTAGAAGAGAGAAGAGCGTTGATGTGGCTGATTAAGATTGGATTATGCATGGTATGCAACACAAGGTTATGCATGGGATCCGTTCCCCAGTCGCCATATTAAATTTTAACAAATATTGAAAATAGGGATGACAACTTTACCCATACACAGAGATTTTAACTCTAATGGGTTGGGTCTGAAATCCAAGTCAAATATAAATGGGTGAAGTACTCAGATGGGTCAATACTTATACCCATTATTAGGGGTGAACAAATACACCCGTAAACCGATCCACCCGTCCAACCCGATCCAACCCACCCGTATTTATCGCTAAAATGAAGGTTTTGGGTTGGGTGAGGATTTTCTTTTGTACAACCCGTCTCTTTTGGGTTGGGTTTGGATTTTGGATTACACAACCCGTAGAACCCGACTCAACCCGTGTTCCAATTATTAGTATGAGTTCGTATCCAAAAAAATATTTATGTCGTATATAGTGATACTTATGTTAAAATTAAGATATTTCGCCATGTTTTTCTCTTAAGGTCCCCCTAATCTAATGCATTATTCGGCTTAAAGTTTAGACATAAATTCAATATAGCTATGATTCACATAATTCTTTTTCGTGTGTACAATTTTAATAGAATAACATATTATGGATGCATTCATTTGTAACCTTTTTAGCCTATTTCTACAAATGTCGTGAAAAAATTTGACATAAGTTGAAGTAAATCACATTTTATTAAAATTCAAACAACATTTGTGAATTTTGATACCTTTCACCTTGGTTTATTCTTTTAAATTTTTAATTAGTTATAAAATATTTTTATGGTGTAGAATAATTACATATTTTGTGTTGGGTTGGGTTTTTACTTAAAAATATCGTCAACCCGACCCAACCCAATTAGAAACAAACTGTAGGGTTTAGATTTTTTTGGGTGGGTTTGGGTTTAATATTTCCTAAACCGTAGTGCATGGGTCGGGTGATTAAAATGTCTAAACCCGAACCACCCGACCCATGTACACCCCTACCCATTATCTTGGATCTACTTGGGTTAAAAAACTCCAAACCAAATAATTAAATAAAAAAATACAAAATTAGAAGACTTTCGACATTTTCTCTCTTCACTTCATCTCAATCAACAATCAAGACGTTTGACATTCTCTCTTCTGTCTCTCCACCCTTCGTCGGAGGCCGCCTATATCTCGGCGATCGGAGAGCGGGCAGTGACGGAGCAATGTCGGCGCCCTTGTTATCACCTCTGACCCACTGGAGTTAGAACGCACCCTTGGGCCAGTTGATCTAGCAGAAACCCACTCCAGTAGTCGATCTGATACCCTGACTCGTCACAGATACACCGCGAAATAAACCCCGATTAGAGCCCCAGTATAACCTCTAGTCGGGTGCAGTATAGGGCAAGTATGTTTTAATTGTCAAACTTGTCCGGTCCATGTACCCCATTTAAGTTTTTATCTAGCAATCCATTTTCGGTTTAAAACTAAGAAAACTACAAAATAAACAAGCAAGGAAAGTAAATTGTGGAGACTTCTACTTGAGAGGACTTCACCTGGGTAATGCTCCTCCTAGTATCGTATTAAGAAACAATGAACACAACTCTAGTGTGAAGGATGTGTTCTTATACCGTGACGCAGGTGCAACTAGTTAGGGACAAACTCTCATAGTCGATCGATTAAGGATCGCAACAAAAAGCTAGTGAACATAGCTCTCTTAACCGATCAACCAAGAAAACTCTAACTCTCTTAGTTTACCAATTTAGGATTGTTGCATTAAATTAGTAGACTAACTCTCTTACCTTTCGGCTAGGGTTGACAATAAAAGACTAGACAATCTAGCCCCCTCTAAACCGGTCGAATAAGGATTGCAAACCAATTCCTCATAACTTAATCCAATTGGCAGAGAGCGACCAATCACGTCAAAATCATGATACTACTTCGATACTTGAGGTTTTGGCCCTAGATCAACCCAAAAGGGGTTACCCGAGTGGCTAGGAGATCAATATCTCTATGGGCCCAATTGGGATTTCCACATTCTCGGTTAATTTGACCCAATAATGAGATAATGCAAGAAATACTCAATCATTCATGATTAATGCCTCAAATATTATATAGAACACAGAATCAACACAATATAATCAAGTTCTTACATCATAACACACATCTAAACTAGGATTCACAATACCCAAGTGAGTAGGTAGCCTATTCCATAGCTAGGCAAAGAAAAACAACAAAAAGGAGAGAAAGAACCATAAAGAGATGACAATCTTCCTTCTTTGTTGCTTGAATTTCCCTTAAGAATAAGAAACCTTCAACCCTCTAGTTTAGGGCAAGCCCAAATCTCCTTCTTCCTTTTTTTGAATGGCAATTTCTCTCTAGAATAGGAAGAGGAAACCCTAATCGCTCACTAGAAACCCTCTTTTATTCCACACACTAAAAACCTACCAAAAGCTCTCATTTTCTCCTTCAGCTCACTTTCCCTTTTATACCCAGATCTAGGCATGTTCACGGTCCCAGTTCACGGCCGTGAACATTCGTCTTGGATCGTGAAGTCGAGCAGATTCGCACCATTTCACTAAGTCACTTCACGACCTGGGGATGGAGTTCACGATCTTGCGACCGTGAAATGGTTGGACTCCAGTGAGATGCGCAAACTGATCCGGAACTTCGGTGCTTCGCAGTCACGATGCAATTGTCATAGTGACTTTTTTTTGCGCTTTTTGTCCTCTAATCGACCTGAAACTCGTCCGCGACCTTCCCACACGTGCTAGGACCTGAAATGT